TGAAGTGGCTGTTATGAAGTTCCCTTGCGTTACAGGTTGTGTTGACTACACACAGGTGCGTATTAATAGCCCCAGTGTCAACAACGCCGAAGTGTTCCGTAACCGCAAAGGCTATTTGTGTTTTTCTATAACACGACGACACTTTCCGTCTCTTTCGGTAAAAAAAAAATTGACTCGGTGCTGTGTCCGTGTTCGTCTATCCTTTCGTCCCGTCTAGGGCGCTGTTTCTCGCTCAGAAAGGCATCGCTTGTAGCACAACGCTACGTAAAATTACACACACACAAAAAAGAGGTGCCCCTATCACGGCTTTTTTTATCCGCGTCACCATCATGCAGCGATACATTGCTGCACCCCGCGAGACAGAATGCTGCTGAGGGCAATGTCCTGACCCCCGCTTTTTCTCTTGTTTACCAAGCTCGACAAAAGGATACGAATCACATTTGTTCCCAGAACTTGTTTTTTTTTTTTTTTTTCATAATAACTGTGACCTAGCCCATTACAGGCATGCACACAGGCGAACAGAAAGGCAAATACCGTGGAAATCGCGTCACCTCGTGAGCCAGGTCAGCACAAATACATGCCATGGCGTTCGATTGCGGAAAAAAAAAAAAAAACGACGAAAGAACCCAAGGAGATGCTTGTTTCTCCTCCAAACAAGCAACCGTGGAGAAACGCACCGCATTTGGGTGGCCACTAAAACCAGCGGGCAACGAACGCTTTACAGAAGCAACACTGCGCATCGCTGTGGTGGCAGGCACCACGTGCCGCTCGTTAGCCGTAAAATGGCAAGAATATGCTTGTGGCCCTTCGTTTTAATAGTTATTTTAAAACGTAGGGTCTTTTTTGGTGTAATGCATGCCTTACGCGAACAACTTCATTATTACCCTCGTTAGCAGGCGAGCAGCGTGTTTCTGCTTTGAAGCTCGTTCTTGACTTGACCAAGCAAGACAGCCTGAGCATCTATGAAACGCGAAGGTTGACTTGGGCGTTTTGAAGTCCGCTGCTTGCTTCGCGCCGACTTGCTCAAGTTAAGTTGAAGTCGTGAGCCAAGTAACATCTCTGCATTCGGGGGTAAGGTGATCGCCTTTTGCGAGGAAAAGTTAAAAGTCGCTATTTCGGCTGATGCGGTTGAGAGGGCCCACAGGCTAGGTCGCTTCACGGCAACAAAAAACAGGCCTATTATAGTACGGTTTCTGTCGTTTAAGGAAAAGCAGCGTGTTTTATCAGCTACTTCGAGGTTGAAAAATACAAGCTTTGCTATTAGCGAAGACTATAGCAATAAAGTTCGACAAAAGAGGCGGAAATTAATTCAATTTGCGAAGAGTAAGGGAGGGGACTTCAGACTATTGTATAACAAACTAAAGATTGGCAAGGAAACTTGTCTATAATGCTGAAACAGGCAGCGTGACTAAAACCAAGACATAGCAACTAAAAATGGCCCTCGTAACTTTTAGACAACCATCCAGCCCGGATGACATCGTGTGTATTGTGGTAAATTGTCGTAGCGTAAAAAATAAAATTATAGAACTCGCCGCCCTCATTGAAACGACAAAGCCACATGTAGTACTTTGTTCTGAATCTTGGTTAGACGACACAATAAATGACAATGAAATCTTTCCAACCTGCTACACAGTCTACAGGAAGGACAGAAACGCGCATGGGGGAGGTGTTTTCATTTTGATTCACAATACTATATCTAGCTTCCCCGTTGACGTTGAAGCTGGCTCAACTGAAATTGTTTGCTGCAAAGTACTCTTGAACAACGGCTCGTCTGTGGCATTCGTTTCCTTCTACAGGTCACCCAGCACGAGAGCCCCTCAGCCCTTTTTCAATTTAAGCAATGTGCTGCTTACACTACAAACTACATATATTGTTTTGGCAGGTGATTTTAATTTACCAGATGTGATATGGCAGCAGCTTACACCAGTGTTAGTCAATTCATCCCTCCTGTACACGACCTTCCGCGAAATGATAAATGCCCATTCGTTACTACAGTTTGTGCAAAAACCAACGCGAATTATGGCTAGTAGTGCAAATGTACTTGATTTATTTTTCTGCAATGTGCTTGATCTCGTGTCTTCGATTACCTTGATTCCTGGTATTAGTGATCATGATGTTGTCGTCGCTAAGATGTCTTGTGCCACCAAGAATTGTCGTTCTGCACAGCCTCGCAAGGTCTTTTTTTATGAAAGAGGCGATTACGCAACAGTATCATGTGAACTAGACAATTTTTTCCCAGAGTTCAGGGCTCAATGTTCGTGTCTAGACATAAATGCATTGTGGGATCTTTTTAAGGCTAAAATACTGTCCTCGACACAAACCTTCATTCCCTTGCATGTGATTACTTCCCAGCGTCGAAACGATAAACCATGGATTACTAAAGAGATTCGTACGATGTTAAACAGGAAAAATAGAGCCTTTCGTAAGCACTGCCACTTGCCGAATCCTACATTGTTCGTAAAGGTGAAGGTAATGAGCAAAACGATAGCGAGATTGATGCGCAATGCACATAAAAAGTTTCTTTTCACTCTAGGACACAAAGTGAAAACTAATCCAAAAGAAATGTGGAAATATGTCAAGAGCAAAAAGAACTCTGGTGACGCTATCCCTGACGTCATAGATGAAAAAGCCTACGGCGCAGATATTTTGGCAAAAGCAGAGGCCTTCAATGCTTATTTTCACTCCGTGTTTTCATGCTCAGAAGCCGCACTTTTGAAATCACATGACGTCAGAGAGCTTACTCAGATGAGGGAAATTGAGCTGTCTGAAGATGGTATCGCTTTATTACTGCGGAAGATAAACATCCACTCGGCTACCGGTCCTGACTTTATTTCAAATTTTGTCCTAAAAAACTGTGCATTGTCTGTCACCCCTTTCTTAATACTGTTATTTAAGATATCTCTTCAAGTTGGTGCTCTACCTTCGGACTGGAAAACTGCAAATGTTATTCCAATTCACAAAAGTGGTTCAAAAACAAGAACGTGCAACTACAGGCCAACTTCACTCACAAGCGTTGCTTGTAAAACATTAGAACATGTTGTTTATACAAATTTAATGGCTCACCTTCAAGAAAATAGCTTCATTATTCCAACGCAACATGGCTTCAGGGCTGGTTTTTCTTGCGACACTCAGCTTGTAGAATTTTGCCATGACATCGCAGCATTTATTAACTCAGGTTTGCAAGTTGACTGCATCTTTTTAGAGTTTCGGAAAGCTTTCGATACCGTACCTCACACCCTGTTACTACTAAAGTTGTCCTACCTCAACTTGCCAAACACCCTCCTGAAGTGGTTGGAAGCGTACCTGTTAGATAGAAACCAACGCGTGATACTTCATGGTGTCCGCTCTTCTGATGTCTCTGTATTATCTGGAGTGCCACAGGGGTCCGTCTTAAGGCCCCTGCTTTTTCTTATATTTATCAATGACCTTACTGAACACTTGTCTTGCCGTGTGAAGTTATATGCAGATGATTGCTGTATTTACCGTGAAATTTCAAGTGAATCAGATAGTCAACTGCTACAGAATGATCTGAACAAAATCATGTCTTGGTGTTCGACTTGGAACATGACACTCAACCTGTCCAAATGCAACCTCTTAAGATTCACAAACAAAAGACACCCGCTGATGGCAAGCTATGTCATGAATACAACACAGCTGCCCCTTGTAACAGAATATAAGTACTTAGGAGTCATTTTTTCCAGCAATTTGACTTGGAGTGCCCACATAAATTACATCGTAACAAAGGCCAGCAACACATTAAACTTCTTAAGACGTAACTTTAAACAAGCACCGTCCAGCCTGAAAGAAATCCTGTATATGTCGAATGTACGCCCACTTTTGGAATATGCGTGCAGCACGTGGGACCCTTTTACTAAGGTGAACATCGACGCTCTAGAACGCGTGCAGCTGAGAGCGGCCCGTTTCGTCACGAGTGATTACAACTTTTCTGAAAGATCTTTCGAAATCAGGAGTACTTTAGGATGGCCTCTTCTTGAAGACAGGCGCAAATTTTTACGTTTATCTCTGTTTCACAAAATATTCCATGGTTTAACGGGTATTCACAAAGAAAACTACATATCGGAGCCTACGTATATACCTGCTCGTACTGATCACCCCCTTAAAAGTGCGCGAGTTCGCTACCAGAATTAACCTTTTTAAATATTCATTTTTTCCGTGATCAATTAAGCAATGGAACAAACTAACTCTTTAAATTGTAGCCACATCCAGGGAAACATTCGCCACTGCACTGGAACATCATATTTTATCGTAGCCTGAGCACACATTAAAGTTGCCTACACTTTCGTTTCATCTCTCTAGCGATCTACGCTTCAGCTCTTTTTTTTAATTTTTTTTGTGTGTGTATATATATATGTGTGTGCGTATGCATTTTATATATATATTTCGTTTTTTTTCTTGCTGCTGTACCTTCACACACGTCAATGTTTATTACATCACCATTGGATGCTTTATTATGTATCTGTATTTCTTTTATGTTCAACTCAGTGTTAGTGGACTGTCACCTTTCTGCATTTCGAAATCGTTATCTCCCCCCTACACTAATGCCCCTTGCGGGCGCTATAGGTACTGTAAATAAATAAATAAATAAATATAAAGGCATATTCTTAACACTGTCAATTGCAAGTCTATTTTTAGTTTAGTTCCTTTAAACTGATATTTCGTTATATCCAGGTTCGTTATATCGAGGCTTGAGTATAGTGACGATAAACCTTTAGCTCTTATTGTTCGTAGTATGTACATTAGCAAAGAAACAGTACCTACAGCTTGAGTGGGAACGGGCGAGCATGAATGTCTTTCACTATTGAAGGGCAGGCGTTGCTGGGTTCTGTGGGTGCCACAGCTGCCATTTTCTCAGCTTGTAAAACTGAGAGTAGGCCCTCAAGTGTCGGCCTTTCGTTTTAGGTAGAAAAACAAATTGAAAGTTTCTGTGTTGGTAGCTCTTCAATGAGTTTATTATAGTTTCGTCTGCTTGTTATCTCCAGGGGCGGCGGAGTGTGCTCAAGGACTGTTGCATGATTGAGGACAACACTGTGCTGGCACCCGAGACCGTTGTACCCGCGTTTGCCGTGTTCTCGGGGTCTCCAGGCAAGTTGCGTTTTGTTTCTTGCACTCCCCGAAAACATTGTTGTGCTCTCTGAGTTGGTGATGTGTGATGAACCACTGCACAACTATTAAGGCAAAGAAGAAAGAATGAACTAGGCGTTGTTCATCTTTGTCTTTGTTCTTGCCTTTTTAGTAGCACTGTGGTTTATCTTGTACCGTACAAAGTCAAGTTCGTATTGGCTGTTTACATTCCTCTAATGTCACGCAAAACAGACACCACCTGCATTACTAAAAAACATTCGCGTGCTTTACGTGCAGCACTAGTAACGGAAGGCATCAGAAGAATGGTGACGCAGTCCAAAAAAGAGTGAGCTGCTGGATTAGTTGGTGCGACGTATTGTTACATAGCTTCAGTCGTGAAGTGTGCACAACGCAAGCTGGATCTAAACGCATCTTGGACGAACTTGTGTCCAGGGGATGAAAAGTGCAAGTGATTCGGGCTGCACACTGATAGCAGCAGTCACAGGTGTTGGCTCTCTGTAATCTGATTATTGGCGGAATGCGTATCTTTTCTATATCGATAGCCGAACCTTCCAGTGTTGTCTGTGGTGCTTGCGTAAGCTTCGTAATAAACTTGGACTATATACATTTCAAGTGCAATATTTACAGAACAGTGTCGACACTTCCATTAAGGCACAGCATGGGGTGAGTGCTGCTTCGAAGCTCTTCATGGCCTGAATTGCTTTGGTAAATAAACGCCGTGAACAACAGCAGAACTTCACTGTTATGTTCCTCTCCGCTGCATTTTCCCGGCTGTTGCATCATTGTACACCAGTCTCGTTACAGCTTCCTTAGGATCCAACGTAATGGGAACCTGGCTGTAACGTAGTAACTGTGGGGTTGTTCTTGTATTGTATGTCCTTAAGTGTGCTCCGAGTCGGCCAGGCGATTGCGCTAGCGAGTGGTCACGTTGACTTTTCGTGCAGCTTGGCCTGGTTTGACAGTAACAATAAATCCATAATTGGCACAGCCGACCAGTGCTCTCGGTGGCCGCAAACCAAAGCGTGGCCTACGACATCCGTATTGGAAAGATTGTGTATGTTACATAATTACTTGTGATAGCAAGGCCTTCAAGATTTGTTTGCTTCCGCCATTGCATTGGCATGGATTCATCATCATCGGTATATTTGTTGGAACAGTTGGAGCTGGCTGGAGTTGCTCGTCACGCTGGTCATGTTGTGCTTGATTAGTTATTTTGTAAGAGTATTTGTACTATTACAAAATGTATTCGTACTAATTATGGTAAACAAACTGTGAGATTCACTTCCATCTCGCTATGGAACACTTTTCCACTTAACATAAAAACTTTAGGCTCATTTCATCAATTTAAAAACAGCAAAAAATCTATTTTCTTTTTGCGGAATAACCATAAGAGTTACTGTTTGTCTCATGTGATGTGTGTTTTCTTTTGGTGCTTTTTTTGTTTTTGGGTAAAGGTTATTAAACTGTTGTATCGCCTTTTTTCCCTTCTTTTTTGTATTTTTCGCTTTGACTTGATGTGTCAACTTTATACTATTTCATAGATTCATTTGCACCTTTTTCTACTATATTTTTTGTTTTGACTGATAATTGTTGCTATGGTTCCTATTACTAACACATTGTTTTTGTACACGAGGTCCCAATACAGTCTCTTGACTATGGGACCTCCTTCTGTTTATTAAATGCACGTTATTGTGCACAATTTTGATTGATAAAATTTTGATTTTATGCCCACAATCGTTCATGCCAAAATAATCACATATGTTAAATTACATTGCCACAAATAACGCCCTTCTCAGCTCTGTGTTTGTCGACTACCGTATTTACTCAATTCTACCGCGCCCTCGATTGTAACGCGCACCCGGTTTCGGCGACGAAAAAAAAAAAGAAAAAAGTAAGACATTGATTGCAACGCGCAGCCATTTTTCTCGTTGGCCCGCACGATCGCACCACTCGAAAAAACGACTCCTTTCGGGATTCATCATTTTCACTGGTATAGCGCACTAAGACAAGGACACACACAAAGGAGAGATGCACACACACAAAGCGCTATGGGAACCTGGCTGTAACGTAGTGACTGTGGGGTTGTTCTTGTATTGTATGTCCTGAAGTGTGCTCCGAGTCGGCCAGGCGGCCAGGTAGCACTTTTTGTGTGTGTGCATCTCTCCTTTGTGTGTGTCCTTGTCGTGGTGCGCTATACCAGTGAAAATGATGAATCTCAACCAACTAGCCTCGCAACGTGTCCTTTCGGGAGCGTCTTCCATTTTAATAAGAGGTAGGGGAAAGATTGTGCCCATCTGATGTGTAACAGAGCATTGCCATCACTGTAGTTTTACCGTGGACCGATGTCAGCACGTGAACTTGCTTCGCCCCCTTCTCGACGGTTGTGGTGCTAGGCATGTCCAAGTAAAGAGGCGTCTGATTGGCATTCCCAATTTGCCCAAGCAGATAGTCGTTGTTGTGCCGCAAGTTTAGGACGAACCTCTGAAAACTGTGAAGCTTCATCGTACTCGTCTTAAAACTTTTCGCATATGTCCGTTCGCCTTCGGAGGGAAAAGCTTTTCCTCTTCATAAAGTTAGTTAGCCAGCACCTGCTCACTTTAAACTGGCTCCGCATAAGCCCTTTTTTTATTCTAAGGCTAACTGCATAGCCCGCACTTTGAGCAGTTCTGTCGTCACGGGCCGCTCGCTGCTCAAGCACATACTCGCCGAGCAGCTCCTCAATTTGCGGAAACCGACCCTGCTGTGGTCCATTGAAGCCTTTGCATGAAGCTTTGCTGTCAACAATCTTCTGCTTTTGTTTCCGCCATTCCCGCACGCACGTTTCGGGAATTCCGAACGACGGCGATGCGGCCTATTTCCGTCCGTTCTACACACGCGATGACTTTTCTTTTAAAAGCGGCATTGTGGTGCACTCGAGTTTTTGGAGTCGGTCCTTTCATGCCGTCGACGCTAATGCACTACAAGATGACGAACTCCTCACCACACGTACGAAGTGCCGCACATGGGAAACATATAGGCAGAAATGGCCGACGGGCCATGCCGACGCACGTAGGGGGCGGCCATTTTGGATATGCCGATGGCAATAGAATTACCGTATTTAGATTTTTTTTTCGTACTCGATTCTAACGCGCATGCAATTTATGAACTCACTTAACCGGAAAAAAGGTGTGCATTAGATTCGAGTAATTACGGTATGTTATGGCTGATTGCGCCAATGCGTGCACTAGTGACGAAACTTAGGAGCTGGTGAAGCATATTGTTATAATAATGATCGCTTTGGAGGTTCTTTCACTCTCCCGGCGCATTTAGACATCTTCTCAGTTCCGTGTTTGTCTACTATGTTATGGCTGATTGCACCGATGCGTGCACTAGTGATGAAACTTAAGAGCTGGTGAAGCACAGCGTTACAATAATGAAAGTAGCTTTCGAGCTACTTTCACTCTCCCGGGGCATTCAGCCATCTACTACAGGCTATGGTGGTTCGACACTGTTACAAGCTGCCACTCTAGCGTCGCCAGCGCGAAGTCGGCGACGGGAATGACAGCAGGTTGGTTCGTTCTGCACGCAAGCAGAGACAATGAAGAGATCAGAGACGTGGGAAAACAAAACAAACTTTAGTCTAGTGATAGTGCAGCACACGGGGTCTAATATAACACTTCAATACAACTAACAAAATACATCAACATTTGATACAAATACATATAAAAACAATAAATCAGCTTACGCGAGAGAACTATTACAAACTACACAAACTAGCACAACAGAACTAATGAGGAGAAAGTTCGAAGATATAAACAGGTGGAGGCATACGTGTGATGACCGGCAGCGTTGCGTCCCCGACGATCGGAAGCGAGAAGTCGAAGAGAGTTCTGGCACGACTGCGATGTCGGCGGTGTTGCAACGCTGGTGGCTCCGGGAGGCTAGTGCTTGCAGGTGACTTCGAGCAGGTTGAGCTAACTCGAGGCGAAGTCACGATGTCTACGTTGCAGACGTTAATATCGCGTCACAACTAGACGAACGGCTAAGTTTAGGTGGCCAGCCGATACAGAGCCACAATAAAAACTTCTAGAAGAGATGCTTGTTGATCTGTTTCTACACCATCTTGGTCAGCGACTAGTCTGCCTAGCAGGGCAAAATCCTGCGCTTAAATCCCCCTCGTGTCTCCTCGCTCTCTTCCGTGGGGACAAGAGACCTCTACCTGGGTCCAATCATGCGCGTTTAATTGAGGGGAAACTCTGCCCCAAAAATATTTTGACCCCACCCCTTTTTAATAGGGAGAGGGCCCGCAACTAGCGAGAGTGACAACCTGTCGGGTTGTTGACATACGGCTTGGCCACCAGAGCGTTTCCCACGCTTTTCACTGTGGGAACGGTCAACCACTTAGCTCTCAGTCGGGGCGTCTTGTAGTCTAATCCTTGTTCGGGGTATACCGCGGCCTTCTACGACCTTGCAGACGTCGCCACAGTTACAAAAGGATTAACTGTCGGCGGCGACGTTCTAAGGAGAGCACCCCATTTTGCACTTATCGGTTCCCTTTCATGTGCCGCCGTTTCTCACGGTCAGTCGGGGAGTACGGCGCCCGTTAATTGCCGTGACGCGGTGTCGCCAAAAATAGCCATCCGTGACAGACACTATTCCAACTGTGCCACGTTATTGCTGGGGGAACGCCTATGCACGCGGTGACAGTCTCACAAGAGCTTCGCTACTGGCGATCGCTAACCAGGTGTTGTCTGTGGTCACTTAGATTTAATAGGATAGGACGCTGCAGCTGCTCGAAAAGCTCTTCGTGCTTCTGGGGCATGTGCTAAACATCGGGCAGTGTTGCACGATTTTTTCAAGCGCAAGTGTAGGAAGGAAATCTTGTACCACAATATGCTTTGTCGTTTTTCTTTTTTCTTAGCTCTTGCATTTTCCAGCTGTTACTTTTGTTTCTTATGGGCCCTTGAAAAACACGCGTCGGCAGGGTTCTTGTAATAAACGTTTATTCACAGGATGCCAACCTGTGGGTAGGTATTGCCATTTTGTGTTTGTGTTGTACCGCTTCATTTGTTGCGTCCACGTTTACCCACCCAGCATCTTTTATCCTGAGACTAATCCACCAACCAAAGTCTATCAAACTTGGCATGCCACGAATAAAGAGAAAGGAAGAGAGGACAAGTGCTTGTGTGTTTGAACTTAGTTCTACCATGCATATCCAACTTGCCCAACTTTCGATTCTGTTGGCATGCCACTTTTTATTCGAATATACGAAATAAAGAGTGGCCTTTTGCGAAGCATTCGTCTCTGTTGTGCCCCCCATGTTGATTCTCTTGCCTCGCAGGTCTCTTCACCGGCGAACTCCCAGAGTGCACGCAAGACCTGATGACAAACTACACTAAGGCATACTATCATCATTTCAGGCCATCGGAGAATGCTACAGGCTAGCTTCAAAAATGTTTTTGTATTATTTAAGAATAAAAAAGTTTACAAAAGCTTTACCTTTCATGCTGTAATGACCACATTTGTTCGCTACTAATGCACATCTATCAAGGGTGTAGCCAGAAATTTTTTCGAGAGACAGTGTTCAACCTTTTATGTGTGTTCGTGTCTGTGTTCGCTGCTGTTTGTGTGTATACATATACATGCAAAAACTTGGACAATGCTTGAGCTTTGCCTTCAAGAGTAGAGCACGATAGCATAATCGACCGCTGTGCGCATTCACTTCAGCCACGCTGCTATGAAAGGAACGTTTGTGTGCGTAACATTTGCCGTTTCAAACTATCCTAGAAAGTCTACAGGACGTACAGTTTCTAACTGCCCCCTACACCATAACTCTTCCTTTTGCTAATCGTTGCAGCAGTTCATAAGGTGCTATGCGCACTTGTGTAGCTGCACACATTATAACGGGCAAGCAGCTTCAAACCACTGACTCAGTGCGCAATTCAAATATTTTGACATGATTCTAGGATTATGCGATGAAGTATTACATGCGTTAAAGAGACCCCTTCAACTACATGACATTCGTAAAGTGTTTTTTCAAAAGTAGTGTCGAGCAGTGACATAGCTTCGTGATAGAGCACCTGCTTTCAAGTTTCAAGTTTTATTATTTCCGAAAACAAGGTACAAAATCTAAGATATACAGACGAGGGTCCCAAAGCCAGAGACTTTATTGGGACCCTAGGTTTGTTGATACAGATCGACGGTAAAATTTATACAGAGCAACACAAAATTCTTACAATATACCGACATCAAAATGCACTTTTATATCACAAATCAAGCCAGAACACCCAACATGGTATAAAAAAAAACTAAGAACAAACGAGTCAAACAGGTAAACGATCACAAGTAAGGTCATTCAAGAAAATAATTTTTTGACGGACTTTTTGAACAAAGAAATTGAAGTGCAACGCTTAATACTAGAAGGTAATGCATTCCAAAAGGATATCGCACTGAAAGTGGAAGTTTTTTGCCCATAATTAGTATGAGCGGGGGGTAACAGGAATTTTTATCAGCCGCAAACCTGGTCACATTATTATTCTGCAAAAGATCAGATGTAATAAATGGGAATGCAAGTTGATTATACAGAAATCTGCTTATACGCTATCTGCTTTCCATGCAGATAGCATGGGTTTGATTCTCACTTGGAGCTGAAAACGTTTCTTTTATTGCATCTTTCTTGATTGTTCGGTTGTGGGCAGGATGACGATTTTCCCCCATATTGGACGATTCTTGACGCCGAAGCTGGAATTTCAGCTAAGTGAGCTCTTTAACGCTGTTGTGTTAAAATAGAAAAAATTTCAAAAATACCGTGCTTATGCCAATGATTTCTACTTCGTATCCAGATTTCGCAAAGTAGGAAAAAAAAAACAGGACTAGACGTGGTGGCGATTAGGTTGCGGCCAATGCTTTGGCTCAGTGATTCTCGACTCTGCGGTTCACGAATGCGTTCACTTTATCCAGTTGCACTTGGCGTTTTTTATTTATTTCGACAGCACAGCTATCACGCTTGTGCGTCTTTCAGAATTTCAGCGACCACACAATTTCATTTTCTATCATCCAGTAGTAAAGGATGATGTTGGCTTGATATTGCTACGTAGCTGACATATCAGCGGTCAGTGGACGACAACGAGGAAGTGGTCTTTCGCTTGTGCGTGCTGTCCTCCATCTTGGTCAATGCTATACGCAGCAGTGTGAATATAGATTCTAAACAGACACGCCTCGTGTCATTTTTACGTAACATATTCGTGGTGGAGGTTCTGGGTACTTCCCTGTATTCATCATGAAGCTCCGCAACGGTCTCATCATCTTAGGTCCATTCATGTCACAGGTTGAACAACCATTGTCTTCACCACCTGCTCCTTCCGTGACTTCTACCTACGTCGTTCTACCTCCTGCTCGTGATCCCGGCGTATTTTCCGGTCAGGAAGGCATTGACGTCGATAAATGAATCAACCGGTACAAACGGGTCAGTGCAGGCTATAGGTGGGACCCGACTCTTATGCTTGCCAATGTGCTTTTTTACCTCAATGGCCCACCGCGGGTGTGGTTCGAGATGCACGAAGCGGATATTACAAGCTGGGACTCCTTTAAAGAAAAGATCCGCGACCTTTATGGCGACACCGTTGGGCAGCAGATCGCAGCGCGTAATCAACTGGTGGCTCGTGCACAGACTTCGACGGAGTCCTACGTCGCGTACATTCACATCATCGCCCTATGCTGCCAGATTGACGAGCACATGAGTGAGACTGAGAAAGTGGCCCATGTGCTGAGAGGCATAGCAGACGACGCCTTTAATCTTCTAGTTTACAACAACGTTGCCACTGTCGACACCATCATTAAAGAGTGCCGGCGGTTCGAAGAAGCCAAGAGCCGCCGTATTACTCAGCCATTCAACCGGCTGCCCAACACGACCGCAACCTCATCGTGTGAAGCTGCCCGCCAGTCCCCCATGTATGACAAGGTCACGCACATTGTTTGTCAGGAAATCAAAGCCGCCTGTCCGGCTCCTCTCCAACCACCCGTTTTCTCTGACCAACAACAATTGTCAGTGGCGTTAATACAAGCTGTGGTGAGGCAGGAGTTTGCAAACCTCGGCCTTCCATCAGCATGTCACTTGACTCTCCCTGAAGTCCCTTCTTACTCCACAGGACAAGCTCACTGTTTACCTCCAACAATGCCCTTCCATAACCCTTTGGAATGGCGAACACCCGATGGCCGGCCCATTTTTTTTTCTGCCACTAGCCTGGGCACGTTTCTCGCTATTGCCGCCGTCGTCGGTCAAACCAACCGCGCCATATCTTCTCTATCTCTGTGGACATACACCTGACGACCCCTCGACGTTCAGCCGCCGCACCCTTCAATTTCTATACGTCATCATCTTACAAGCCTTCCACTGGCGCCCCTTTGCCCGGTCGCCGCTACACTGACGCCTCTTCGTCCGGTCGCCGCAGCTCCTGCTCCCCGTCGCCGCTACATCGCCAATCCCGCTCTCCGCCGCCACGGCGCTCTTCCGCGCCGAGCTTCTCTGGACGATCGCAGCAGGAAAACTAGATATTGCAGCTTATAGAGGTGAAGCTGCAATACCAATGACGGCCGAAAATCCTCTACTGACGCTTACCATGCACTGCAGCCTGCTTGAAGTACAGGTCGACCATGTTCCTGTGACCGTCCTCATTGACACAGGTGTGCACCTGTCTTATTATGAGCGCTTCCCTACGCCGCCGCTTGCAACAGATTATGACGCCGTCTACGACGCAGGCAATCCATGTTGTCGATGGCGGTACTGTACCAGTAATCGGAATGTGCACTGTTTGTGTCAGCATTGCCGGTAGTCAGGCCGTGGTCCTTGTTGCCATGCTAGCCTGTTGCCCTCATGACCTCATACTTGGCCTTAATTTCTTTTTGACACACTCAGCCTTAATTGACTGTTCGTCTGGTACCCTCAGCCGATCTTCAACCAATCTCCATCCCAACCGAATCTCTCTTCCGTGTTGGTATAGATCTTCTTGGTCCTTTTCCTGAGTCAAAATTGGGCAACAAGTGGGTCGCCGTTGCTATAGACTACGCGACTAGGTATGCCATCGCTCGAGCGCTCCCCACCAGCACCGCTACTGACGTTGCGGAATTTCCGCTCCACGATGTCATCCTACACCATGGCACTCTTCGCCAATCACGGATCGCGGCCGCGCATTTTTGTCCCGAGTAATCGACGATCTTCTGCGCTCTTCCTCTACGCAGCACAAGTTGACCAGTTCCTACCATCCCCAAACAAATTGCCTTACTGAACGCCTAAATCGCACCTTCACGGACATGCTCGCGATTTATCTGTCCTCCGACCACCAAGACTGGGACCTGCGCTACGTCACGTGACCTTCGCGTACAATTCTTCGTGCCACGACACCACTGGTTATCACCCTTTTATTTGCTCTATGGCCGCGATCTGACGTTACCACTCGACACCCTACTTCCAACCACTACAACACTGTCAACCGAATATGCACGCAACGCTATTGCTCGTCCCGACCACGCACGTCAGATCGCCCGCTCTAGACTTTCGGTTTCGGAAGCCACCCAGAAAGCCATTATCGACAGCCAACATATTGACGTTCGCTTCTCACCCGGTTCTCTCGTTCTCCTGTGGTGCCCAGTTTGTCGAGTTGGCTTATCAGAGAAGTTGTTGTCTCGCTACATGGATCTTTACCGTATCATCCGCCAGGTAACCGACGTCGCCTATGAGATCATTCCTGCATCTGAGACCACAAGCCTGCCAGCAACCACACCCAGTGATGTGCACGTCAGCAGGCTAAAACCTTACCACCTGTCTACTGAAGACTTTAATTAATATGCGCAGAGAGGGCACTTTTATTGCCGGGGGGATAATGCTACGTAGCTGACATATCAGCGGCCATAAGACGACAACGAAGAAGTGGTCTGTCGGTTGTGCGTGCTGTCCTCCATCTTGATCGATGCTATACGCATCAGTGTGGATATAGATTCTGAATAGTTATGCCTCGCGTCATTTTTATGTAACAATATGGCGGTGGGGCATTTTGTGCTACCCTGAACAGCGAACCTGGGTGCATTGTATTGCAGCGCAGAGTTGCAATGTGCGCATTGCAACTTTACAAATGAATTGAGAACTTGCCATTGAAAAGAGCCTGTCGTGATATGTTGAAAGGTGGTGTTTAAGTGAAAGTGTGCTGTCTTTGATCGTGTTGTTGGTACTTGTGAACGGAGCATGTAATGTGTGCCAAGTAGTGCTTATTGTAATGTAATGTGGGTCACTTCATGCACGGCACTTCCAACGTGCTGGGTGCTTTCTTTGAGCCTATGATCTATCATTATCCTGACTATGTTTTGATAATGCAATACATCTTGATCTGTAATGTTGATATCCTTGATTTGTAACATGTTGTACCAGCTTCATTTGGCCGCTGTGTATTTCGCCTGAATTTTTTTTACTCACCATGGTGGTGC